ATACATATTATTAGCATTTTATATAAATAATGATCAATATAATAATATTTCTAAGATAGGAAGGTATGTTTATAAAGTTATAATAATGCGATAGTAAAGTCAACTTTCCATAAAATTAATAAAAGATTAAAGATTTGGAGGGAAATAGCACAAAAAATTAAGACTCAAGTTTCTCCATCTGCTGCTGTAATGGTTACATCTCAAAAATATCTCATAGTTTTCAAAAGGGTCTTTTAATCTCCTAAAGCTTGACTTTGAATCATATGATATATGAATCTATATAAAATAATGTCTACAATCATTCTGTATATTTATAATCTTGAGAAGTTATTATGAACCATTCAACATTTAATTAAAATGATATATTAACATAATAGCTCTAATAGTTAATATTATAAAATGTTATAATCATTATTATAATATGGCACTGACAATCATTATAATCTTTCATAAATTTACCTACGATTTTAACCTTCACAGCTACATTAATGCATATCAACACAAGGCAGGTGCATCCCAAAACCCCAGCTATGCGCTTCTCTGGTGGTTCCAGTGAGCCTGAAGGGAGAGAGATGGAGACGGAGAAACGGGAGACAAAGACAAGTGTTCAGTTCACAGACAAGAATCTTCATGCACAAGGAATCATGTATAGAAATTTGTACACACAGATTGTGTCTACTACCAGTAAGAGATAGAGTTCTACTGAGTTGTATAAGATGTTTTAAAATAAAAAGTATACTAACATTGATAATTTGAAAATTATTACTTACCTTTGATCATTCTTAATGTTGACAAATATTTCTGCACCAACTTTATAGTAACTAGAAAAAAGTTAAATAGTCCTTATAAATATTGATGTTGACCTGAATACATATATATATATAGTACATTCTAAATTTCAGTTCATTTCACTGCTTGAAATTAGAATAATCTTGAACAAAATTTATATTAGGAAAAATAATTAAAAATCATAGACAACAAAGAATACATTAGAATATAAGTAATTAATATAAAACATACTAAAGTACTTATTTTATCATATGCAAAAATTAATTTGGATTTCTTGATATACTTTAGTCTATTAAGCATGTTTTTGTAAATATTCAGAATATATCTGTATAGGCACAATCCTTTAGATAATCAGTATGACCTTATATGTAAATATACTGTGTAATGCAATTTTATACAAAAATGTATTTATGGAAATAAAAAATATATACTAGTAAATTTAATACTTTAAAAATTTAAAAAATCCATGTTTTCTTTAAATTCATGTAATAAAATCAGAGCTCTTTTCCAAAATATGAATTTGAGAGGCACTGACATTCTTTTAGAGCGTTAAACATCCCTGGAATACTTTTAAGTTTTTCTTACAAGCAATGAGAACTATGATTTTTACGACTGTGGGCAGCAAGAGGATCCCCAGGTCCTCAGCAGCAATCATCCCCGGAGATGAGGGCGAGTCTGCAGGGGAGAAATGGAAACACCGAGAAGAGATGAGGCAAATGCTGACAGTTTGCAGACCCGAGACCAGACTGCGCAGGCGTCACACGTGGGAGGTGGATCCCAGACCCACATTCCCTGTTGTAATCCGGCCGCCAGGAATTATATCGTGTTTTCAGTAAACATGATGTTCTATGAGTTGTTGTCAAAGACTCCAGCACCCAATAATGCAAGAATAAAATTACTCCTCTCATTTCGGATCAGAGTGGCATATTCATATTTTAAACTTCAACTCAGATCAGAAACCCCAATTGCACAGCCCAGAACAGTTACCGCGTGTCTAGTAAATATTCAACTTTGCAGGTCAGTACTTGTTATTCCCCTGGAGATCCTGAGAAGTAGTTTGAAAATGTATTTCCACAGACGTTCTCTGCTATTGGTGAAGGGGAGCTTCCGTGCCCTTACCTTTCATTTGTAGCACCCTTGGGTCCAGATTCAGAGCTGGGGAGTTCTCTATGTGGTCGTTCCTCCTTGCATCTGAGTCTTCTCAGGGGCCGTGCTCTGTTCTGACAGCTGCAGGTGAGTCCTTACTAACAGCCTCACAAGATGGCCAGGACCCTGGTGCTCGTGAGGGCGGAGCAAGGAGAGTGATAATCTCATAATACAGTTGAATCATGGACAAGTCTCAGTAAAATTTTCTTATCGCTTAAAATAAGCTTTGCATGATATAGAATACTCCAAAAAATACTTTTTTTATTTTTCACAAAATTCTATTGGTTGGGGAATAGAAGACCAAATGTTAATGAGGAAATTTTACATATATTAACATTCACACTCATTTAAAGTCATCACCAACATTTTAGAAGCTATTAGATTAACTGTTTAAGTGCTACATTAGAAAAAATGATGTACTAATTTTAATGATTAAAGACTGATTATTATAAAGTGTGTTATAGCTGTGTTAGTATATGTAGAAATTTTCTGCTCTAATTATTTTTGCATCGTGATTAGCATCTAATTTTAAAAGAGAAGAGTGGTAAAAAATTGTATTGTTCTCCAAACAATGTATAGTTTTAAGAAATTGTTAAGATTTTAAGTATATTTACTATATAAAAAACAACATATGATCCATTTGCTTATTGAAATCATAAACAATAATGACAAAAGAAACATTTGGAAATGACATTTACTGTATAAATGAATTTGGTAAAAACAGTATAAAACTGTAATTTAAAAATCATTTAGGGGACTATAATATAGATTCAAACATCCAGAGGGATCGTGATTATGTAGATATTAGAATATATCAGGTAGTGTAATTTGATATTTAATCAATGAGCTCCTCCAAGTGTAGAATCTGAAATTAATTCTCACTTTGAAACCTGCAAAATTTACATAGTGTCATCAATTTGGCTTATAAATCTAAAACTAGAATAAAAACACATATGCTGTAATATATGTAATAAACCTGAAGTTGAAACTGCCCTTCTTAAGCTCTCAATGAAAAGCCAAGTAATTTTAATTATTATCTGATAAACTGAATTGCTATATAAGATTAATCAAGTTAGTGCATATAGCAGAGTTCCTTAGACAGGAGTCTCTTTTGTCAGTGTTGTGTATTGTTTTCATAATGTATACTGTCATTAAAAAAAAAAAAAAAAGATAGTTTATAAGTAAGTTCAAATTGTATGGAACTACTTCATCTGCATTTGTATGAAAAATTAAACAGGTCTTATTAGGTTTAAAATAAATATATAAGGAATTACTTTTTCCCTTCTATATTAAATGAATTAATTCTAAGTATCTAACGGCTGATTAAACAATGAATAACATATAGAATTATAAGTGTACTGATTGTAAAGTCTAAAATAAACTGTTCCATGTCATAATGCCCATGAGATGACTTATAAAATTGCTTTGATTTAAAAACTAAATTATCCTTATTTAAATGTAGATGTGCATATGTGATATATATGTAGATATGTGCACTTGAATAATATCCCAAAATAAAGAACTTGAATATTTAAGTTAATCTATAATATGTCTCATAATATGATTATTGTCCCACTCTAAATCATTCAATAAAGATAACAGAGTCTCCATAATTTCACTCCCTATCAATGCTTCGATCACACATATTATTTGTAATCAATGATGGGCTGGAAGAAAGACAGGACAGCAGGAACACATACCTCCTCGTGACCAGAGACGGCAGTATCCTCCAGAGGGAGACCTGGTTACTCTTGGAAACAGACAAACCCAATCTGTGGTTTACGCAGACTCCCCTGTGAAGGTGCAGAGTGAAGCAACACTGGAAAAAGTAGATTTCTTGTCAAAGTGTCACTTAAACTGAACAGGAAATCCCAGCTATTGTGAAGGCAGTTTCTCATCACACACCTCCAAGCAGAGGAGACTGAGCCTGTAGTGTGTTATTTGGTTTGTCCATTGCAAATGCCTCTAAGAAATTGTGTCTCTATTCAAAACGATTATGAGGGGACAAAGGATTTCACAAACTAGGCTGTTTAACTGCTTCTGTCTCAACCACAGACCCTGAACTTGTAAGTCTAGTTAAGAGTATAGTAGATGTTTTACTTTTGCAGTGTTGCTAAAACTTGGTGTTAGATATCTTTTTCTTATACTTTCATGTCAATTAAATTTTAATGGAGCTATTTTAGAAATGGATTTAGAAACCATAATTCCCTATGTAATATATATTGTGTATATGTGACTAATTATTATAAATATTACATTTCCAGCATTATTACAACAGTCCCACAATCACCAGTTCACAAACTTTTCTCTCTTTCTTTGTATTCAGGTTTCTAATTTGTGAACAGTTGCTTCAATTTCCATGATAAAAATGTCTCTTGGCATGATAAATGTTTCCAAATACTGAATTATATCACCATCCCAAGATTGAAATATTAAATAATTTCTCAATTATTCTTTCATTGATTCATCCCCCTAATCACTACATAGTCAACAAATTATAATTAACATAAAGTCTGTACTTTAAAATGAATATTGGTTGGAAGTATGACATAGTTCCAATCTCACAGTTAGGGGACAAAGAGTCCATTTTTGTAACTATCACCTAATCAAAAAATTGGAGGATGAAAAAGAAGGATTTTAAAGCTCAAATCGATTCCTTAGACATTCCAGCCACTATTTAAAGAAGCAAATAACATTTCTAGTTTCAAAGAATATTCTCTAACAGAGTTCACCTAAAATAGTAGTAACCACAAAAAGGAAATCCCTACATGATTTTGAATTCAGTGAAATGGCTATTTATCAATCAAAGAATTATCAGAATGTCATGTGAATTAGAATAAAAATATGAAAGCAATATTGTATCTTTTGTAATCAAATATCTTAAGTGCACATAATGCTAAAAAAGGAAAAGGCACAAATCTGAGCATGGATCAAAGACACTGAAAAATTGTAAAAGTCAAAATTAGGTGAAATTAGTCTAAAACAATGGAAGAAAACAATAAATGACACGACCAGGTGACAAAGATCAAAACAGTTAAAGAGCATATACAAAGCACATGTAGTCTCATTGTATAAACTTAATAACAGCAAATACATTACTGAAGAGAATAATTGAGAACCTCATTCTTTTTTATGTAAATAACACATGAAAAAGTGAGTATGGACCCTTTTTATCCTGCTTTTTAGTAGGTACGCCAGCCAATAAGCAAGTTTTATGAATATATATTAATTTCACAATGAAACAGTAAATTTTAGAAATGAAAATCACCAAAAATTTGCACAGAAAGTAGATCTTTAAGATTTCTTTGTGCATTCAAAACTACTGGGATATATAGGTCAGAGGTGTGGCGGTGGTGAGAGGATTCACCCGAGACACAGTGGGGAGCAGAAAAGGCAGATTGACTAAATACACTGCTGTGGATAGTGGCAGGTGAGACAGGAGGGGTCTGCTGGGCCATGATGGTCACTCCCCTGGCCGGGGATTGAACTCATGCTGAAGTAGCTTCAGCTAGCTTCTTAGCGCTGCACTTGAACCAGTTTCACCACCAGGGAAAACCACAGGAATCCTTTTTATTATAGCTTTGATACAAATTTGCCAAATGTGTAGCTGTGAATAAAATCGACTCTAATTTTAGAACGAGAAGGAAAAATGTGCTGATGTAAATAAAATACAGTAATGGTAAAACAACACAGAATGATTGCTATGGTTTTATTTCAAAATTAAGATAATCTTACATTTGATTGCGATAAAGATAATTTACTTCATAAGCATTTTACCAAGAAAATAATTTTTCATTACAATTGATACAAAACAAATAAAAATATAACCTCAATCTATAAAATAAATACAAAATTAAGAATGAGGTGGACTTACACTAACTTGAAAGTGATTAAAAATTTATAATGGATTTCATATTTGAGAATGAATATTGAAATCTACTTCCCATGACTTCAGTCATGGTAGCTTCTATTGAATTTTGGATGTAAAACTCTGGTCTGTACAATAAGCCAATAAAAAAGAAAAAGTAATTGCATTTGAAAAGAAGAAAAATATATAAATATCATTATTTATAATAAAATAACCATTTATATAAAAAGTAATACTTCCTATATTCATATACTAAATTGATATATTGCACTGATAGAATTAATATATACAGGCAGCAAAACCATTTCATATAATTCAATAAGCCCACTTCATCTGTATTACTGTTTACAGGAACAACTGTTTATTTATTTTAAAATAAGATGCCGTACAAAAAGCATGATGTAATTTTCTGTGATTCTGTACAACTACAATGCATAAGAAATAAGGCAAGATGAAAAAGGATTCAGGTTGATACAGACTGAAAGAATAAAGGTGGCAAAGATGACTAATATCCAAATTACTTTAAAGATAAATTGTTTCATACATCATCATGGAATTTTTAAAAACTACTTTATTGAGATATATCTTACAAAGCATACATTTCAGCCACTGAAAATGCATACATCAAAGCCATTTAGCGTATTCAGAGTTTGCAGATGTCACTGCTCTGAGCACTCAAAAGGCTTCATCACCTCAAAAAGAAATAGGGAACCTACAGGCGGTCAGTTCCTCATCCCATCACCCCCAGTCCCTGGCAACCACAATCCACATCCCATACCTATGAGTGTGGCATTATGTATAAAGGGAACAACACATGTATGGTTTTTTGGAGGTCAAATACTACAAATAAAATGCTGAATAAAAATATAATGATATCCGAATAATTTTCCTATTCATAGTACATTTTTAAAGGTTTATTTATTTATGCATACAAAACTGGGGTGCAGGGCAGATGTGCAGGGCTAGGGGTGAGAGGACTCACAAGAGACAAAGTGGGGAGCAGCACAAGCAGAACTATGGAAACACACTGCTGAGGGGAGCAGCAGGCAGGACAGGAGAGGTCTGCTGGGCCATTTGCCTCAGCTTCCTGACAGTTGATCGAACTGATGCTGCTGTGGCTGTGGACAGCTTCATTTTGCAGTGCTTTAACTGTTGCACAACCAGGGAGAACCCTACACATAGTACATTAAAACACTTATTTTGAAAAAGAAATATCATGAGAACAAAATCAAAATCAATTTTATGATGCATTTCTTAAAAAAGAAAGTTACCCAGGAATGGCACATATTAAAAACATTAGCAAAAACAAATATTGGATGGATGTGATTAAAAAAAAAAAAAGCAACTCTCCTACACAGTGGTGGGAGTGAGAAATGGTCCAGCCGCTATGACAAGCTGTATGGAGGTTCCTCAGACTATTAAAAATGGAGCTAACAGAGGACCGAGGAATGCCGCTCTAGGGGATTTACCAAGAAGACACATATACATGAATCCCTAGGACACCAGCACCTCTGTGCTTACTGCAGTGTTGACTGGCACAAGGAGATGTGGTGCATACACAGTGGAATACTAGTCAGCAGTCAGAAAGATAGCCTCATGCATTTACAGCAACAAGGATGGAACTAAAAAGAAATTATGCTCAGTGAAATAAACAGAAGGAAATAGAAAAAAAATATACATGATTTCAAACATATAAGGACACAGGGAATCAAATAAGGCATCAGGAAAAAATAATCACATGAAAAACACAACAACACAAAACAAAAATGAACATACATCTATAAAGCAGACATTCTGCAGGGGGAGGGGAGAGAGAGGGATCGAAAGGAGGGAGGGGAGAGCACAGGGACTATGGGGATGGTCAGGGGTGAACTAGCTTGGGAATTTGTTGTGCAAATATCAGAGAAAGAAAGCAAACAGAAAAGAACAGTGATGTAAAATAATATAAATATTTAAGATATAACAAATTACCAAATAGATAAAACTTAGGGTTTTTTTTATATAAACTTATGCTTGCAAAAATAGCTATGTGGAGTTTGGCAGTCGTCTGTAAAATATATCTTTTGTAGCACAGCACAGTTACCAGGTGATGTTTCTTTTATCCTGAAATAAAGAAAAATGCATGATTCTGGTTCTTTTAATGTGGGGACAAGTCAAGAAACAATAGCATTTTCTATTAACTACAATAAAAGCTTATTTTGAAAATACAGGGAGACAGTATTTTTAGAATATTTGTAAAAGTTGGCAGTTAGACAAACTGAGCTGTCCTTTCTCAATATTTATCATTTTCATTCACGTTCAACATCATTCTTCGTGTCTATAATTGAAATCAAATGCACTAATGTGATTCTTATGTTCCTTTACACCTTTCTTCTTATGAGTGTATTTAAATAAAACTTACTGTAATTGTGAAACTGCCCCGTTTTCCAGCGTCCATGGCTGACCGGGGCCATTACGGTAGACTCCAACCCATGACAATCTTTTTATGCTTGTGAAAAATCTCTATTCAAACAAAAAGAATTTTTTACTTATATAGGCATGATGAAAGACTTCATTTAAAGTAAAATTAGTGATGTCTTTCA